ATGCCCAGGTTATGTCACTGATTTTTTTTTTTTTTTCTGTACCACACCAACCCAATCAAGAAACATTGCAGACACCACACACCCTTCTTTCAGGAGAGAGCACAAAGCATGAAATATTCCCTCAGGCAGTGGGAGGACCTTTCTTACTAGTAAGAAGGTGTGGATTCTGAAATTGCCTTCAGACTGAAGCCTTTGAATTAGCAGTGATGCCAGCTTGAAGACACAGAGGGGCAGGTCAAGGGTCTCGGGGAGGGGGCCCTCACTCGAAACAATCCTACTTTAATCACATATTGGGGCACGTTTCACATTATTTAGTTATTGTGAGTAGTTATTCATAATTTGTATTAGTTTTGCTGCCTTTTAGAGTTTGCAATTCTTTAGAAATTTATTTTTAATTGGAGGATAACTGCTCCTCAATGTTGTGGTGCTTTCTGCCATACAAAAATGTGGGTCAGCTTTAAGTACACATATATCCCCTCCACTTTGAGCCTCACTTTCACCCCACTGCCCCCCATCCCATCCCTCTAGATCATCACAGAGCACAAGGCTGAGCTCCCTATGCTATTCAGCAACTTTCCATTAGCCATCTATTTTACACATGGCGATGCATATATTTCAATGCTACTCTCTCAATCCATCCCACCCTCTCTTTCTCTTTCTGTGTTCAGAAGTCCTGTACTCCACATCCGCATTTCTATTCCTGCTCTGCAAATAGGTTCATTAGCACCATTTTTCTAGATTTCATATATATGTGTTAAAATGTGATATTTGTTTTTCTCTTTCTGACTGATTCACACTGTGTAACAGGCTTTAGATTTGTCCACCTCAGTTAAACTGAACTCCTATCTGTTCCTTTCTATAGCTGAGTAACATTCTATTGTATATATGTACAACAACTTCTTTACCCATTCATTTGTTGATAGACATCTAGGTTGCTTCCATGTCCTGGCTGTTGGAAACAGTGCTGCAATGAACACCGGAGTACATATGCCTTTTTGAATTACAATTTTCTCAGGGCATATGCCCAGAGAAGTATCCCCAGGGATTGCTGGGCCATACGGTAATTTTATTGCTAATTTTTTAAGGATCTCCATACTGTTCTCCATAGCGTCTCTATGCAATGAACACTGGGGTACATTTGTCTTTTGAATCACAATTTACTCAGGACATATGCCCATGTGCTCTTTTACTTCCATGAGTTTGACTGTTTTCAATACCTCAAATAAAGGGATTCATGCAGTATTTGTCCTCCTGTGTCTGGCTTACTTCTCTTCGCGTAATGTCTTCCAGGTTGATCCATGTTGTCTCATATGACAGGATTTCCTTCTTTTTAAGGAGGAATAAAAATCCATTGTATGTATAGATTACAGTTTATTTATCCATTCATCAGCTGATATGGACATTTAGGTTTTTAACACATTTTGGTTACTGTGGGTACTGCTGCAGTAAACCTGAAAGTGCTAATATGTCTTTGAGACCCTGATTTAAATTATCTTGGATAAATACACAAATGTGGAATGGGTAATACAAACGGTAGTTCTGTTTTCTATTTTTTAACATTTGAGTAACATTCATATTGTTCACAACAGTTAAATGTGCATCAATTTTTTTAAACATCATCCTTTTAGAGAAGGGGTACAAAAATAAGCAAATGTAGTAAGACATGGGAAACCTATTGAATATGTGTCCATTTCCCCAGTACCCCTTAATGGCTGAACCATTTAACATCCCACTAACAGGTAAAAATATCCTTATTTTCTTCACAACCTCACCAACTTTTGCTAGGACTTCTTGTTTTTCTGATTACAGACATTCTAACAGGTGTGAAGTGATATGTCACTGTGTGTTTGATTTTCATATCCCTGATGGTCAGTAATGATATTAAACTCCTTTTAATATGTCTTCTGTAAATAGAAGTCTCTTCAAGTCCCTTGCATATTTGAAATAAAGGCTGCTAAATTTTTTGCCATTATGTCATAGAATTTTCTTACATATTTTGGAAATTAACCCCTTATCAGATATATGGGGGCTCATATTTCCATAGAACTGATCATGTAATGTGCCTTATAGTAGGCATTTTATTGTTTTATAGCAAAATTTTGAGGCAGGTATAGTTTTTATCCCTAATTACAACTGTGTAAATCAACTGATATTCAGGGAGTTTGGGAAATATTTAATGTCACACAGTACTGGTGTGCATGAATGTCGGCATAGCTAAGGCACTCAAGTTTTCCCTGGAAAGCATAGTGCAAATTACTAGCTGAAGTGTTATTTCCTTATTATTATTATGCTTACTTTATTATTATTATTATTAATATATCAAGTAAGTGTATTATTTATTTACTTTGTTATTATCATTCTGTGGTTCAACAAATTATACTAATAAATTACCAATGGATTCTATGTCACCCATCATTTATTTATTTAGGGAAAAATACCCAATGAGTGAATGGTGGAATGAATGATTCATGGAGCTTCATTCCCTGGGCGTACTAAGAAAGTCTGAAAACACACCAAATGTCATTTCAAAAAAGGGCCTGATAGAGTTGACTGAATTAACAGCTATAGTGTAAATTAGCACAAGATATTTGGGGGTACTTATGGCAAAGCTTCTAAATGGGTACAGTCCAGATATTGAGACAAATTTGAAGATAATGAGATGTGAGGAATTTGGGTTCCTAGTAGACCAAGAAGCAGCAGACCAAGCAACACTAAGAACCAGACATGGAAAAATGAACTGGTTCAAAATTGGGAAAGGAGTAAGTAAAGATAGTACATTGTTACCCTGTTCATTTAACTTATATACAGAGTACATCATGCAAATTGCTGGGCTGGATGAAGCACAAGCTGGACTCTAGATTTCCAGGAGAAATATCAATAACCTCAAGTATGCAGATGACACCACCATTAGGGCAGAAAGCAAAGATGAACTAAATATCCTCTTGATGAAAGTGAAAGAGGAGAGTGAAAAAGTTGGCTTAAAACTACACATTTAAAAAACTAAGATCATAGTGTTTGATCCCATCACTTCATGGGAAATAGATGGGGGAAGAAATGAAAATAGTGATGGACTTTATTTTCTTGGGCTCCAAACTCACTGAGGACTGAGACTGCAGTCATGAAATTAAAAGACGCTTGCTCATGGGAAGAAAACTATACCAAACCTAGACAGTGTATCAAAAAGCAGAGACATCACTTTGCTGACAAAGGTCGCCATACTCAAAGTTGTGGTTTTCCCAGTAGTCGTGTATGGATGCCAGAGTTGGACCATAAAGAAGGCTGAGCACTGAAGAACTGATGCTTTTGAACTGTGGTGCTGGAGAAGACACATGAGAGCCCCTTGGACAGCAAGGAGATCAAACCAGTCAATCCTAAAGGAAATTGACTCTGAATATTCCTTGGAAGGACTGATATTGAAGCTGAAGCTCCAATATTTTGGCCTCCTGATGTGAGGAGCCAACTCACGGGAAAAGACCTTGATGGTGAAAAGATTGAAGGCAGGAGGAGAAGGGGATGACAGAGGATGAGATGGCATCACTGAGTCAATGGACATGAGTTGAGCAAACTCTGGGAGATAGTGAAGGACAAGGAAGTCTGGGGTGCTGCAGTCCATGGGGTCGCAAAGAGTTGGACACGAATGAGCAACTGAACAGCAGCAAACAACACTAGACCACAAATGACTCATGGTCATGGGGTGGCAAAAGTAGAGTTTCATGAAGGGGCCCCAGTCTATGAGCTTATGGCTGAGAAACCAGAGGGATCATGTTGTCCTGTTCATGTCCATTATGGAGCCATGTGAAAATACAACTGAAATGAGACTGTTAGTACTGGAAAAGCATGATAGACTTGTGGCCATGTTTAAGTCATTTAATTGTCAAGAAAAGCCCAGAAATCAGTAGAACGTGGAATAAGGGTAATTTAGAAAAACTGTGGGTAGGGCTTAAAATATGTATGGTTAGTACACCCTACTTGTTACCACTGAGGGAGACAAAGCTGGGTGCTGAAGGTGAAATGGAATGGGGTAGTAAGCTTTTCATACCATATGCTTTGGGAGCTGGGGAATGTGGGGAGCACAATCTCAACCATGGAGGGGCAATACTCTTGTCAAAGAATTCCTCATATTTCCTAACTGGTGCATGACATTGGCACTGGGGCTTTGAGACAGTGTATTGAGTGACTCACTCTGCTCTCCCTCAGTGAAGGGTGAGGAAGTCCATGGGCAATAGAGCTTTATGATATCAGCATGAGTGTGGCAATTTATTTTTGAGATTGCAAGCATGTGGTATTTGGGGTGGGAAACAAATGCATCATGCCAGATCTGGGATGTTCCCTCTGGGTAGAGCGGCCTGGTCCTTATAAAAGGAGCCTTTATCACCATGATGCTATCTTTGTGTTACTCAGTCATAGGTCTTCTTTGGAGCCTCTGGTGAGTACAATTTTAGAGGTTTTTAGCACTTTAGTGTGGTAGGGTATAATCTTAGGGTAGAAATGGCTGCATTTTAACAAATTAGTGATCTCTCTGGGATAAGAAGGTAAAGAGAATTTAGGGTAGTTTTCAGTACTTGTTCTTAAAGTCTTCAATGTGCTCTTAAATGTGACAAGGGGAAAGACGTCAATGGCACAGTCTTAGGGAGAGTAAGGGAGATGAGATGCTGTGTTTCAGTGCACCTTACATTAATTGCAAATGAAGCCTTCTCAGCCTTCAGTCCCACTGAGTGCTGAGTTTGGGCCTTTGCATTTCTCCTCGGAAGACAATAGTCAAGTCAGTTAGACCAGAAACCAGGATCTCGTGGGAGAAATTATAGAGATGCGTTTTGAGGTCGGCTACAAGTTTCACATCCTGATTATTCTTCTTCAGAGTATGTTTGTATTCACACAGCACTTGTGTAATTTTTTTGTTAGAAAGTGGTAGAATAGGACTCCCTGTTAATGGAAGAAGAGGACTTTGTTATGAACAATGCTGTCTGTTTGTATTTCAGATTCCTTGCGACCCAGGAAGGATGTCTTACCATCAGCATCCTCATCCACATCAGCATGAGCATCAGCATCACCATCAGCATCAGGTCAAGGAGCCCTGCCATCCTCCTCCAAAAGTGTGCACACAGAAGTCCCATGAGCCTTGCCCACCTCATCCATGCCCACCTCCAGTGAGCCAGCAGAAATGCCCTCCTGGGCCACCATGCCCACCATGCGAGCAGAAGACTCCACCCAAGTGGAAGTAACAGCACCAGATTTCATCTGGACCAAGAAACAACAAGATCCAGGCTCTTCCATTGCTCTCCCTTAGGCCATGGTGATGGACTGCATCTTCGTTAACCTCCATCTGGGACCGACAGCTGACAGAGTAAAGGGCTGATTCCTGAAGCTGACATCACCTTGTTGGATAAAGAGCAACAGAACCATCGCCTGATCGCTCTTTGCCATGTGCCTGTCTGTGATCCGGGTTGTGATCTCTACCTTGTGAGCACTTAGTATGTCTATTCTTCTGCTTCTCCAATAAAGCCTGTGTCATAGTTGAGCCCACATTTCTTCTTCTGTTTTTCTTTTCCACTTTGTGCTTTTAATGTCTCCTGTCAACTTCAAGTATTCTTCTATGTGTTCCGTTTACTCCCATTGGGTTTTCAGAGTTAGACTTTTCCATCATCGAATTCAGCTTTGCCTGAAAGATGTCTTTTGGATTGGATCCATCAAGGAATTCTTTCATTGGTTTCAAACATGTCTATCTACCTTGTAGGACCCTTAATAGAACTGAATTCTGTCAGCCTCAGTTTCTTCACCTGAGAAATTTAGGAAAGAATGAATTCAACTCAGTGTACTCATAGAAATTAATATATACACAAATATTTCCTAATTATTGATACCTGCCAGGCCATCTCTTATATGCTAGGGACATGATAATGGTCACCAACGTCCTTGTCCATTTAACTTCTTGAGGACATTTTACACATACACACCCATATGCAGAAGACAAATAATAGTCTTGCGTGTGTATGTGTGAGAGAAAATTTGGAGAAAAGTTCCTCCAAAGTGGCTTTTTGGGCAATGACCTGAGTGAAGAAATGAGTGAGCTTTGAGAGTATCAGGGATACATTGTACCATGAGAGGAGATGGCGAGTGCTAAGGCAGAGGAAATTAACCACAGAAAGGACAGTGATCAAGGAGACACTGCCTTCAAATGGGGTCAGAGAGGTTGGAATGCAAAGATTTAGTAATGATTTTCATTATTTATTCATAGTTTGACAGCCATACTATGCTGATGGCCTAACGGCCTCAAATTTTATATCTATGCAATTCTCAACTACAAATTAAAGATAAATCAAAATTGCTGAATGAATTGTAGGATTGCATTATAGAGCTGCACTAATTAAGACCGGTTGCTATCTCACAAGAAAAGACACAGAGATCGATGCAATAAAAGAACATCCAGAGATAGATCCACACCATGCATGGTCAATTGATTTTCAGTAAGGGTGTCTAGGTAATTCAACAGACAAAAACTAACCTTGCCAATAAATGGTACTCAAATGTTGGATGCTGATACAGAGATAATTGAAGCTTGGCCTTTACCTAACACCATATAAACATTAACTCAATTTGTATCACAGACTAAAACATAAGATCTAAGACTCTACAATTTCTAGACGAAAACATAGGAGAAAATCTTAGCTGTGATGGGTTAGGCTAACTGTTATAAAAAATCAGTATCCAAAATACATAAATAACTCATAATATCAGTCATACATAGGCACTGAATAGAAAACTGGACAACAGTCACTTTGCAAAGAAAATGCCTTCATATGGTCAGCATAATTATTTTTAGAGCTCCTGAAAGTCACTAGTATTTAATGAGGAGTATTCAAAATTCAAATCTGATGGGTAAATCCTTCAAAAGTGTGGAAATGACAAACTAATTAAGACACAGGACAAGCAGCAAATACACTATACCTCTGGGAGGAGTGTGGAATTGTTGCAAGTACTCTGGAAAACAGTTTGGCATTGTCTATAAAAGTAGAAGTTGGGTACTTCTGGGAACATCCCCTAGAGAAATGTGTGAACATGTGCACTATCACACATGAACAAAATGCCCCAGTGTTCCTAACAGCTCCAAAAAGGAAACAACTTTGAAGTCAACCAATAGTACAACAAAGAGAGAAATGAAGTGCTGTATAGCCATACAAGGATATTCTAAAGATCACTGGTGGATAAACTAAAGCTGCTGCTGCTGCTGCTAAGTCACTTCAGTCGTGTCCGACTCTGTGCTACCCCACAGGCGGAAGCCCACCAGGCTCCACCGACCCTGGGATTCTCCAGGCAAGAACACTGGAGTGGGTTGCCATTTCCTTCTCCAATGCATGAAAGTGAAAAGTGAAAGTGAAGTCGCTCAGTTGTGTCCGACTCTTCACGACCCCATGGACTGCAGCCTACCAGGCTCCTCCGTCAGTAGGATTTCCCAGGCAAGAGTACTGGAGAGGGTGCTATTGCCTTCTCCAAACTAAAGCTACATGGTATCAATTGAAAGATGAGAGACACAAATATGGTATACAGTATAATTTCATTTATATAGTTATAAAGCTAGTAGCTTAACTATAATTTTTAGAGATATTCCTATACCGATGTTTAAAAACCAAAAGAAAAAGCAAGAAAGTGATTAATAGGACTCATGATTGTGGTCACGTCAAGCGGAGAAGGTATGGGATGCAATTGAATAAGGAAACTTGGGTCTTTTGAAGGGTTGGAAGTGTCCCTTTTCTTAACTTCATGTTTCTTGACAATAATGAGATAAATCTGTAATTATCCACTTCATGCAGCAAAGCTTTATGAGCTTTCTGCATATGTTGATCATATTTTCCTAAAATCAAACAAAATTTTACTTTTTGTTTTCCTTTTCTTGTTTTTCTTCAAGACAAAATTGGGGAGGGAATTATTAGGCCAGAGCCCTATCCAAGAGTACAAAGTCAACCCCCACTAAAAATAAAATTAGTTTTCAGTGTTGGAAGCACAAGAATAAAATATTCTATGCATTTTGTTATCTATAAGGTGATAGAATTTAATGGAATCAACTTCCCTATAAGATGGGAACACTGTTAATAATAGACCTACCTTTCATATTATCACTATCATCAAATAAATTTTTGCTTTGCAAAAGAATTAATTTTTTAAATTAATGTAATTTTATTGAAGAATACATGCTTGAAAGGATTTTGCTGTTTTCTCTCAAACCTCAATGTGAATCAGCCATAGATATACATATATTCCTTGGTCTTTTTAACCATTTTTAAAACATGTCTTTAAAAGGTCATATGCACTTTCAGTTAAAAGAAAATAGATGTGATAGTAGAGAATTGCATAGAAAGTTGAGACTCTGAACTTCAGCATTGAATGGATGGAAAACTCTGAATAAATTATCAAAACCTTTGACACATCTTTCAGATCCAATATCTTCAATCCCATTTGAAGACATTGTCTCTTTTATGACTGTTCTCCCTTCAGTTACTCTGCCCTGCCTCAGCACTCACCATCTCCACTCACTGGTACAGTGTACCCCAGATACTCAAGGCTCACTCTTCTCTTCACTCAAGTCTTTGCCCTAAAAGTCACTTTGAAAGAGCTTTTTCTACACAGTTGTCTCTAACATACCCCCATGCATCATTATTATTTGCTCGTGTGTGTGTGTGTGTGTGTGTGTGTGCAAACTCCCTTCAAGAGTTTAGATGGAAAAAGGACTTTAGACACCATCCTCATGTCCCTAGCACATAAGAGACTGCCTGACTTGTGTTAATAATTAGGAAATATTTGTGAATAAATTGATTTCTATGAGTACGCTGAGTTGAATATATTCTTGCCTACTGATTTTCAAATCAGGAAACTGAGACTGAGATAATTCAATTCTTTTAAGGGTCTTCAAAGTAGACAAAGATAGAAACAAGTCTGAAACCTAGACGGAATTCTATGAAGGATCCAGTCCAAAAGACATATTTCAGGCAAAGTTGAACTCAATTATGGAAAGGTCTAATTGTGATAATCCAATGGGAATGAACAGGAAAACTCAGAATACTTGTAGTTGACAGAAGAGATGAAAAACACTATATGCAAAAAAGAAAGAAAGAAAGATATACATAATGGGCTATGAATATGCTTTATTGGAGCAGCAAAAAACAGACACACTAAGGGCTCACAGGGTAGATATCACAACACGGATGACAGACAGGCACATGGCAAAGATGATCAAGCAATGATCCTGCTGCTCTTCCAACAACATGGTGTCAGCTTCAGGAACCAAGCCTTTTATCTGTAAGATGTCACTCCAGGAAGGAAGTTAAGGAAGATGCAATCCGTCACCATTACCGAAGAGAGGACAATGGAAGAGCCTGGAACTTGCTGCTGTTACTTCTACTTGGGTGGACACTTCTGCTCGCATGGTGGGCATGGTGGCCTAGGAGGGCATTTCTGCTGGCTCACTGGAGGTGGGCATGGATGAGGTGGGCAAGGCTCATGGGACTTCTGTGTGCACACTTTTGGAGGTGGATGGCAGTGCTCCTTGAACTGATGGTGATGTTGCTGATGGGGATGTGGATGTGGATGATGGTGGTGAGACATCCTTCCTGGGTCTCGAGGAATCTGAAATACAAACAGACAACATTCTTCATAACTGAGTGTCCAAATGGTAGGACATTTAGCTGCGTCAACAACCCTCCCATCACTAAGGACTCTTCTTGATTCCTAATACAGTCTTCATGGTTTTTTACAGCTTCTTTACCCTTCTTTCTTAGTATCTCTTGCCCTCAGACCTTCAGTCTTTTCTGGTTAGTCTCTCCTTCTACCACGTTCTAAAACAAAATTACCCACACAGGCGTTGTACAAATACAAACATACTCTAAAGTGAAATCTGGATAATAAACGAAATCTGGATAATAAACTTATAGCCAATCCCTAAACAAAGCTTTACTTATTTCTCCCATGAGATCTTGGTTGCTGACCAAACTGACCTGACTGTGGGCTTCTGAGGAGAAATGCAGAGGCCCAAACTATGCACTCAATGGGATTGAATGCTGAGAAGGGTGCA